AGGCAGGCAGGCAGGCAGGCAGGCAGGCAGGCAGGCAGGCAGGCAGGCAGGCAGGCAGGCAGGCAGGCAGACAAAATATAGATGATAGGTAGGTGTGTGGATACGGTGGGTAGACATGGAGACCGACCAACATCTAGCTGGATAGAATCCACAGCCAAGAGATGAATTCTCTTCTTCGCCACTCCCCATAGTGTTCCTGTAACCAGATGCTGCCTAAAGTGAGCATCTGCATTTTCTTAACACTCTAAACCTCCTTTGTTTTTAATCTGACTTTTTTTTTTTTTAATGTTTCAGGCATTTGCAAGACCCCTACTTGGAGGGCTTGTCTCCGCCCTGCAGGGTGTGACACACACACCCCCCAGTCACCTGGAGTCATTCAGCAGCCAGGCTCAGCTCGCGGTCCAAACATCGCCTCTGAACCACCCCTGCACTTTTCCTCGTCTTTCCGTGGCCGGACCCCTTTCAAGACCCCCTCTTCCCCACGGCCAGCCTGGATGTCCCAGCTGGGAGCTCCCTCCGGCTGAAGCTGCCCCACCCCTTCCATGCTGCTTACCTGTGTTGGGGTGCCACCCAAGCCCTCAGTGCCTCATCGGCGGGAAACTCCGGGATGTGTCCTTTGGCACCGGTTCTGCCGGCCGAGCCGGTGCAGCTGGCGGTTGGCAGAGCTGGCTAGCGGTCATCAGCACCAGGCAGAGAGAAAGCCAGGATGTCAGTTCTCCAGAGGATCCAGGTGAGGAGACCAGAAGGCTGGAACGGTCATCTGCACGACAGAGGCGGGCAACTGTCCATCGGCTGCAAGAACGGCTGGCGGGAACCCAACAGGGGGAGCTAGGCTTGCAAGCCCACCGTAAGACGGAGTCTGAGTCACCGTCAGAAAGCAGCCACTGAGTATCTGTTTCTCTGCCTGCCTGCTTGCTGCGCTTCAGTGGGGAGCTGCCTCCCTCCCCCCCCCGCCTGAGTCATGGGCTCCCCACCTCTGCTAGGCGCTGAGGAATTGATGCTCAGCAGGCAGCAAGGCAGAAACCTCTTTTTCTTGGAGATTTGTGGGTCCTGCTCAAATCTGGTTAGTTGCTTGCCTTCTGCCCCCCACCCCACCCCCCCAGTTCTAATGCACATGAGCGTCACCCCCATAAACTGAGAGCTGGGGCAGAGCTGCCTGCACATGGATGCCAGCATTTTGGTCTTGCTTTGAAGAGAGGCGTCCTCTTATAATAACACACACCCCTTCCTATACACGGAGCGTCAAGGTGTCCGCTCTGCGAGTCGTTGACGTAACTTTTCTGTATTAATGCTCCAGTTGCTGCTTGTGGCTCCTTTATTTTGCAGTATTTTATTCCTTCACTTATTTGTATATATCCAGTACACTTCCTTCTTCCTATTTCCCTCGCGACGACCACCCTGTGAGGTGGGCTGAGCTGAGAGAGAGGAACCGGCCCAAAGTCACCCAGCCAGACTTCATGCCTAAGGCAGGACTAGAACCCACCGTCTCCTGGTGATTGGCCCAAAGTCACCCAGCCAGCTTTCCTGCCTAAGGTGAGACTAGAATTCGCCAACTCCTAGTGATTGGCCCAGTCACCCAGCTGGCTTTCCTGCCTAAGGCGAGACTAGAACTCATTTCTCCTAGTGATTGGCCAGTCACCCAGCTGGCTTTCCTGCCTAAGGCGAGACTAGAACTCACCGTCTCCCGGTGATTGGCCAGTCACCCAGCTGGCTTTCCTGCTGAAGGCGAGACTAGAACTCACTGTCTCCCGGTGATTGGCCAGTCACCCAGCTGGCTTTCCTGCCTAAGGCGAGACTAGAACTCATTTCTCCTAGTGATTGGCCAGTCACCCAGCTGGCTTTCCTGCCTAAGGCGAGACTAGAACTCACCGTCTCCCACTGATGGGCCCAAAGTCACCTAGCCGGCTTTCACGGCTAAGGCAGGACTAGAACTCACCATCCCCAGCTTTCTAGCCTGGTGCCTTGACCACTAGACCAGGGGTAGGCAACCTTGGCTCTTTTATGACTCGTGGACTTCAACTCCCAGAATTCCTGAGCCAGCGTGGGGGAACTATGGCCCCCTCATGACCCGTGGACTTCAACTCCCAGAATTCCTGAGCCAGCATGGGGGAACAATGGCCCCCTCATGACTCGTGGACTTCAACTCCCAGAATTCCTGAGCCAGCATGGGGGAACTATGGCCCCCTCATGACTCGCGGACTTCAACTCCCAGAATTCCTGAGCCAGCATGGGGGAACAATGGCCCCCTCATGACTCGTGGACTTCAACTCCCAGAATTCCTGAGCCAGCATGGCTCAGCTTGGAAACCTCTCCCTTTCCCCTCAGCATGGCTGGCTCAGGAATTCTGGGAGTTGAAGTCCACGAGTCATAAAAGAGCCATGGTTGCCTACTAGACTATAAACTGGCTCTGATCATGCCGCTTTCTGACTCTTTTGGCGTCACGAAGCACCCAAGATCAGTGCTTCGAAAGCCTTCTTTATCCAGGGAGATGGATCCAACATTTGGCAGACATACCAAGTCACCGTGGTTTTTAATTTCTTTGCTTCTTTTTCATTGCAAAATTCTGAATTGTTTTCTTATAACGCCAGAGAGACCAGAAAAGCATTGATACAGGAACTCAGGCTCCACTTTTCTCTGCATGAGGTCCTGCCTGGCTCTTAATGTCAGTGGGATCAATGTCCCTCATTTGGGGTCATGCTTTAGTGCCGCCTTGCAAGGACCCCTCCCCTGCAGTGGATTACGGTACTCAAGAAGGTGGGGCTTAAGATGACTCCACCCCTTTGGAAAGGATTTGATTATTAGAAGCTGGGCTAGTCCTTCCACTGATAATTACTCTCCTCCTCGGGACGTTTCTCCTTAGTTCCACGTTGCTTCTCTCCTTGATTAGTTTCCATCCGTTGCTTCTTGTCCTGCCTTCAGGTGCTATAGACCAGGGCTTTTCAACCTTTTCACCCATTGTACCACTTTTAGAATATGGCAATATCCGAGGACCACCAGTCGCCTAGCAAGGTGTCAACAACTTGACGACCAAAAACAAAAGGAAAAAAGTGATAAAGTACAGGTGGTCCTTGACTTACAATGGTTCGCTTAGTGACTGTTTGAAGTTACAATGGCACTGAAAAAAGTGCCCCCCAAGCCACAGCCGAGCAAGACACCTGCCTGCCCACCCAGTGGCGCTCTTCCTTCTGTCCGAAGTTTCCATTGTTGGGAGCGTTTCTGTTGAGGATTGGCAGTGGGGGTGGGGTGGGGGGTGGTGTGGTTTTTATTCCCCCCGTCTGCTGGGTGGTTGCAGCAGGTTTTGGTCACTTCACATGACCCTGGGACACTGTGACCGTCATAAATATGAATCGGTTGCCAAGCATCTGAATGTAAATCACAAGACCCTGGAGATGCTGTAACATTCCAGCTGATCGGCACTTCTTCTGGGCTCAGCGGAAGCACCAGGATCAGTGCTGAGCTCCAGCTGGATCCTGGCGCTGATCCTGGCGCTTCCACTGAGCCCTGACAGCCCCGAAGAAGCGCCAATCAGCTGGAAAGCGG